CTTGATTACGGAGACAACTGCTGGCAGAAACGGCAACCTGAGCTGCTGCCAGAAACATAAACTGCCACTTTATTTAGGTCTAAAAGCATTGCAGCCGCAAGTCTATCCATCATGATCTAGCACGCTCATGATAATAACAGACTCTCTAGGCTAAGAAAGCCGCCCCATGGAATAGCCACAAGGACAGGCTCTAACAGGACTCCACGTGTTTTCTCTCCCATTATCTGCAGCCCACACATCATCTTCCTCTCTCAGAGCATCTTAACAGGCATGAGCCATCTCTGTGGGACCCGACTCTGCCATGAAATTGCTCATGCCTGGTTTGGCTAGCCATCGGTGCACGCAATTGGACAGAGGAGTGGCTCAGTGAAGGGTTCGCCACTCACTTGGAAGATGTATTTTGGGCTGAAGCACAGCAGGTGGGTTCAAAGAATTTCCCTATCCAGAGTCAGGGTCTCCATTCATTCATTCACTCATTCATTCATTCACTCAGTAGATATATCCTGAGCATACTAAGCACTATGTTTGCTAGATAAATTACAGTAAAAACAAGAGAGGGAAGCCCCTGCCCCCTGTAAGTGAACAGTCTAGAGACAGGGGAGAGAACAGACAAACCAGTGAAGCAGGAACATGCTAAGAGTACTGTGAAGAAAGATGAGCCGCACACAGGGTGAAGGGGAGCTCTGTTGGCAGGGGCCACACATCTGAACTGAAGCATAAAGAAAAGGTCGTGCTGACATTTTATAACACTCATGTATGATGGTTGTGGTGACATTAACTGTGGGTGTTTGGTTTGGTTTTGAGACAGAGTCTTTCTCTGTAGCTCCAAGACCCTGTCTCAACTCCCCCCACCCCAACACACACAAAATGCCAATTAGGAGTCACATCTCAGATGTCTGTTGGTGAATGACGAACAAAGAACAGGCATTGGAGTTACAGATTAGGCATTGCTGAGGTTTGTGAGAAGCTGGCAACTGCTCCGCTGTAACAGTTGTCCTGTCTAAGGGAAGGTTCATATAGCTTGGACTTCAAGTGTTTCAAGGAACTCAATAAATCTGATTTTTATGTGGGGCTCACTAATTTAAAAATAATTTTATAAATCGGGTGTGATGGCTCACACCTGTTTTTCCAGCCCTTAGGAGGCTGAGCAAGAGTGTCGCTACAAGTTTGAGGCCAGCCTGGGCTATATAGTGAGTTCCAGCAGAACCTTAACTAGAGTGATGCCGTCTCAAAACAAACACAAAGGCAAACTTTTTAAACTTTGGGCCTCAGTTTCCCCTGAGGAATGAATATAAGAAGGTTTAGATTTAGGGGACTAGAGAGATGACTCAGTGGTTAAGAGCACCAGTTGCTCTTGCAGAGGACCCAGGTTTGATTTCCAGCCCCTACATGGTGGCTAGAAACCATCTGTAACTCCAGTTCCAGGGGATCTGGCATTCTCTTCTGACCTATATGGGCATTGCACAGCACTGGTGCACTTACATACATGCAGGCAATCCAATCATACACATAAAATAAATAATAAAGTATTTTTTTTGAAAAAAGAAAGCTTAGATTTAGAATAGGATAATGTATGTGTGAGCTTAGCACCTCCCAGACACACGAAAGGCCTGCTCTCTTTCATTCCCCTACCCACAGAGGCATTCAGCAAGGGTTTCATGTAGATGGATCTGTGTCTCCATCTCTTCCCGGTTGCTTCCATTCTGAGACATGCAGATTGGTGCTGTTCTTGGCCACACGACTTTATTGCATGCATTTAATGATGTCTCTGTCTTTTATCTCCTGCATGTCATGAGAGCCCCTCCTTAACCTCCTGCCCTGCCTGTACCTGAGTCCTGCCTCTGTCTTGAGCATGTCCCTACCAAGTGACAGAGCAGGCTGGGGCACATTTTTCACCTATGTACCTTCCCTCTCCCTTCTGTGTTCAACCTATAAGGACAAAGGGTGGAGGGTAAGAAAGGCACTCAGTGAAGGGAAGAGAATACAGTAGGGAAGATAAGTACCAATCACTGTGTTCATTCAGATATGGAAGAAGCCAAAAAGCCTTTGTGGAGGAAGTAACTACTGCTGTGACCTTGAAGGAAATACCAGAGCCTCTCAGACAAAGAGTCCCCTAAAAAGTTTGGAAAAGTTTCTGAAGTCATTCATTGTTCCAATCCTATCCTCTATGGACCAGTTTGATGATGTCCATGCAGATCTTTAAGCAAGAGAGGGGTAAGAGGGCCAGGGCTAGTGCTGCTGTAGTGGCTCCAGCCAGGAAGAAGGTGAGGATGTGGTGGTGGCAGTGGCCATGTGGAGACAGTTCTGCAGCACTGAACCTCTGGAAGTGCACGCAGGGGAGTGTGAGGTCACAGAAGGTGGGGGCCCCATTCCACTCACAGCAGTGGCCACAGGGAGAAGGGAACTGAGTTGCCAAGTGGTATCACATATAACCTGTCATCCATCTAGATAAGGTTTATGCTCCTTTACATCTATCTACTCTGCCTGGACTGCCACTGCCACAGTCAAATACCAGAGGTGATGGCCTAAGCAACAAGCATTTATTTTCTCACAGTTCTGGAAGCTGGTAGAACAGCACTGGTTTTCTGGTGTGACCTCTCATCCTGGGTGCTAGATTCTAACTTTAATCTCACATGGTCTTTCTTCCATGCTTGAGGGCAGGACAAAGGTCTGGTGTCTTCCTCTTAAAGATCACAGCCCTAAAAGGTCCCCTCTGATGGTCCCATTTAACCATAATCACCTCCTTGAAGGTCTTGTCTCCAATGTAGTCACAGTGGAATTAGGTCTTCAATATGCATGTCTCATGAGGCAGGGGACATAGTTCCATCTATAACGTAGGCACACAGTCTGTTGATTGGCATTTGCCAACCTCTCTACTATCCTCACCTCCCACCACAGTTGTCTGCTCCCATCCTGACCACACTCCTCACCATTCTCTGAGCATATTACAGTCCTTCTAGCCTCCCTCCCCCAACCTGTACTTGCTTTCATAGTTACTGAAGCCCCTGTTTCCTGAAAGCTCAGACCTCCACAGGAAAGCCTGCCCCCTTCCCATGTTGACAACACCTTGGGTCCTTCCTGAGATCTACCATTGCCCACACACTGGTATTATGTACACACACACACCTCCTCAGGATAGCAGAGGTCTTTCCATGATGTCCCCAGGGCCTACACAGAGACTCAGTAAATATATGTGTTCAACATTATTAAAGACCAGTAACTTCCAGAAGTGCCTGCAGATCCTACACGGTTTCCTTCCTCAGGGGGTGTTCAGCTGCCTTCCTGTGCAGAGATTTCAGCCATGTGGCTTCATGAGCATATCCATATGACAACAGCCAGTTCTGACTCAGTGAGGCAGGGAGATAGCCTTCCCTGCCTCTAAATTGAGTCCAGGCAGTATACTTTTTTCTAGATCTACAAACAGAATCATCTGGGTTGCATTAGTAGGCTCCACTGTAAACAGTCCTTAACAAAACTGATGGTTGGGGAAATTAAAAAAAAAGAGGTAACTGAAGGGACCTTCTCCTCCCTGTGCAGCAACACAAGGCAGGGAAGGAAGGCTGGATGGAATCAAAGGAGAAGTGACTCCTAGGGAAGCCCCCCTTTCTAAGCCAAGTGTGTGTTCTGGGAGAGGAGTGGTTTCTAAGACCAGGGACCTAAGAGTCAGGCCAGCACAGAGCTCTGGAGTGCTTAGTTCATGCTCTTCTGAGGAGCCCAAAGGGTTTGCTCTTCTAACGGAGAGCAAGGTGAAAGGAGGGCAAGGAGGGCAGACCCAGTTGTCCCCACTAAAATCAAGCAAGCTTCTCATGGGGCAAGTCTGACCTACACAGTGTCTCTTGTGAAAATACATGTGTTTTTGTGTCTGTGGCCCAAGCAGCTGGCCCCCCATGAGGCCCAGGAGCAGCAAGAGCTGAGAGCTTGCCTGTGCTGGCTCCGCCTGAAGGATGAGCTGCAGAACTCCCCGGAGGAGATGCACGTATTAAGGTAAGGCACCTTGACGCTTCTCCCACCTCCTCTCTCCACCTTTTCTTCCTACATAGCCAGGCCAGCTGACTAAATCTACTGTTTCCTTTAGAATCAATCTGGGCTGGGGTTACTCATCCTCCCAGGGATATGACTGCTGTGTTTTAAGTCTTTCAAGGAGTGGGTTTTATTTGGCTTCTGACATTTTCCTGGTGTCTCTATTCAGGAAAAAACTAGTATGAGGCCAGTTCCGGGACTAAATTCTCCGTTTGAAGTTCTAGTAGTCACTTTATGTGGTGGCTGTGGATGTGAAGGTTAGGGTTTGGCAGCTTGGCACAGACAGTAACCCTTTAAAGCCAAAAGAAAAAAATCTTTAGGAAAATATTGATTGCTAAGTGTTTAGTAGTAACAGATGTGCATGTCAATGGGGCCTTTTGTTCAGATGTTGCCCAGCAGGAAGCCACTGCCTCCCTTTTTCCACTTCCCCCTCCTGCTCCTGGGTGCTGTTTTTAGAGTGGTCCTGGCACGTGTAGAATTGCTTCTTGCTATTTTCCCTGCTTTGCCCTTCTGCTTTGCTGCTTTCCTTGGTGTAAACAGTTGTTATCTGAAGCCTCTTGTCAAGGCCCCAGGAGCACTGAGGTTGCTATGGCAACAGAAGCTTCCATCCATCCCTTGAGGAGAATCCAGTGTTTGGAATCTGCAGTCAGACAAGTGGGAAGGGTGGACCATCTAGGAATTTCCCCTCTCAATCCCTTGTAGATGGCTCCCTGAAGGTCAGCCTGCTCCCCTAGGCGGAGATCTGCTTGGGCACTTCTCTTGTGGTTTGCTTTTTTTTTTTTTTTTAATTTAAAAAAAAAATTTTTAGAAGAAACATTTCATTACAACTTTAACATACTCAATAAGTTTCCAGAGCAAAGATACATCTCTTTCAAAAGTGGTTATAAAATTTTTAGTTTGCTGTGGTTTGCTTTTAAATAAATACCACTCCACTGCACATCCCACTCTCCACACCCAAACACACACACACTGGTCCTAAAGCGCACTGGGAGGCAGAACAGGAGCGGAAACGCACCAAGCCTGCTGGACCCCAGGGAACAAGGCTGGCTGGCGCTTTTATGCAGTGCTGCCCTTCCCACGGCAGGCTCCCATGCTTGCACGCTAACCTTGGCCTCCCAGACTGACTCATCCATTGTTTAAGAGAGGCAGCTGGAGCAGTGGTAAGCTCAGTGGGCCGGGGGCCAGGAGCCAGGAGACCTGCTATTCTGCCCAGCACCACTATACTTGCATCTGTTCCTTCAGCCAGCCTCTGTAGGGCCAGGCAGCCTGGCTATTCCCACAGTGGGGACATGGTCCCTGCTCTCTCTCTTGAGGACTTTCCACTTAGTGGGGGCAGTGTTGCATGTACAATCTAGTCAGAGGTGGTGAGCTGGGATGTGGCAGGTGCCCTCTGTAATTTCTAAACTAACTGGAGGGTCTCAAGACTGAGCTAGGCTTGTGCTCAGCCTGGCAGACTGAGGGACATAACAAAGGCCTTGAGGCAGGAAAGAGACTTGGTGTGCTGTGGGGACAGAACAACAGAGCTGAGAGTCAGGAGGTACCTTACTTCACATGCTTTTAGAAGCTATCACCGGGGCTGGAGAGATGGCTCAGTGCTTAAAAGCACTGATTGCTCTTGCAGAGGACCCGGGTTTGATTCCCAGCACCCACATGGTGGCTACAAACCGTCCTTAACTCCAGTTCCAGGGGAATCCGAAGCTCTCTTCTGACCTCCGTGGCATTGCGCAGTTCGGATGCACTCACATACATGCAGGCAACACACTCATACACATAAAATAAAA